ACAATAATAATAATTAAAAAAAAAAAAAAAACAAGGCAGCGTTCTGTCGCTTCTTTACGATCATCATCAACATCATAGATGTGATCTCGTGATGAGATGACCCCTCTGCTCGGCCAAGGTGTGGTTCTCCAACCGGAGAGCCAAGTGGAGGCGGGAGGAGAAGCTGCGCAACCAAAGGAGGTCGGGAGGAGTGACTTCCTGTTCGCAGAGTCAAGCCCCCCTAACGACTTCCTTTAACACGTCCGTCTACCATCAGCAGCACGGCAGCAGTTCGGGTAAGCTTAATTCCCTTGGCATGCAAAAAAAACAAAAAAAAACAAAAAACAACGCTACTTTGACTTGTGTTTGGCTGGGCCAAGTACAGCCAGATATGGCCCTAGCTTGAATGGCGCCCTCTGGCCTCTGGCCCATTTGTACAGATTTTCAAAGAGTCCTGTGTGTGTGTGTGTGTGTGTGTGTGTGTGTGTGTGTGTGTGTGCGTGTGTGTGTGTGTGTGTGCGCGTGTGTGCGTGCGTGCGTGCTCTCACTCTTTGGTTTCTCCTCTCCTGCAGGGTCCATGTTGAGTCAGGCTGAGTCGTCGCTACCTAGCTACAGCTCGCTGTCAGTCTTCTCATCTGGAGTCCAGGTTAGTCCTGACAACTGCATCCGCACGACTTCATCCAAGAGCATACCTGGATAGATAGACAGATATACAATCAGGAAAACTACAATTTGCCCTCCTACCTCCTCCTCCTAAATTAAAACATTCAAGGTAAATTGGATCATTTCCCACGAGCAGGCAATTATTCAAATAAACAAGACTGATTTCTCTGTGACCGCCAGTAATTGCCCGGTCTTCTCCTCCTCTCCCTCTGCTGTTTACCTTCTCAGTCCATCCCTCCGCAGTCGGCCTCCTCGTACTCTTGCATGTTGCCTCCATCTCCATCTGCCCCACGCAGCTTTGACTCATCAGCATATTCCTCCCCTCACCTCCAGACTGCACCTTCGGCCAACTCCAACACCGGTGAGTACTTCTGATTGATTGGCAGAGCCGGGCCACGCTTCCAACGGGCCTAAGTAAAATGAAATCATTGGAACACGCTATTCCTGCCAATGATATTGATTATTGACAACATATACGCCAAATATAAACTCAATTGTGCAGCACCGTCAGTTTTTGACAATTCCCTCGAGTGGTACACATGCGCCCTCTAGTGGGATACAAAAGAATAACTGCCGAAATACAGTTCAGTTCATTTGCATTATCTGTATGAACTGTTTGTTTCTTGACGTACAGTAAGGTTCATAATCATCTTGGTAACTGGCAGGATGAGGATTTTTAAGAATGGTACTTGGTAGATCTCAGCCGACGAAATAAAAAAATAAAGCAGGCCAAACTTTATGTATTCACTGTAAAATTGTCCTCTGGTTTGTTACTTTGGGTTTAAAAGACCGCAATTGCAATTTGCAAAACTCTTTTGTGGTAATGTAGTGAGTGAATACAGTCTATTTAAAAAAAACAAAAACAATAAACAAGTACATACAAAGCAAATACAGTACTGAAATCAGATGTGTCTGAACAGAAGGTCCTAAAAGGTGACCAAAATGTTTTCATAAAAACAAATATAAAGTTGAATTATTAAAACTGTGTACAAATGGAGAAGTGTTGAGTTAAAAGGAGAGAGCGAGAGATAATTAACTACCTAAATTCAGACATTTAAAGGGGGAGTTTGCAGTTTTAAAACAACTTAGCCATTAGTAAGACTGAGCTACCAGTAGCACTGTAGACAGGCCAAAGTTAGCCAACGCTGCTACGTTGATTAAGACAGACTATAACATTTAAACGGTCGGGTTTAAGTTGAATTCTTCTAAATGTACAATCTATTATAATTCAAAAAGAGGTGATAAACTTACCTGTGGAGCAGAAATGTCGCCAATTCCGCATTGCTTCTGAATCCTCTCGGCCATCTTAGGTTCGTTTGCTGTGTTCTGGTTGCTAGTCTGAGAAACAGTCGCAAACAAGCAAAGAACATTTTCTTTATTTTCCACAGGTATTTGTTCCAAAATAGTTTCCTAAAAGCTCCTGACAAACTCCCCGTTTATTATTAGTCGTAATATAATTATAATTAGTATGATTATTTTATGCTACGCTGCACTGTTAATTGCTCTTGTAGGCCCCCTGGTGGTCAGATTTTTAGTTGGTTTATGCCTTTTTTTTTTTTTTTTTTTTAAATAATCTTTATAGTTGGTTTATGCCTTGGGCCGACTCTATTGATATGGTATTAGTGGACATGCCTCACACAGACCCCCCCACACACACACACACACACACACACTCACACACATTGAGGTCATGCACACTGACTCCGTCTTTTTCCCACTAGGCCTCATATCACCCGGCGTCTCAGTGCCGGTGCAAGTTCCAGGAACCGACCCGCAGAGCATGAGCCAGAACCTGGGCCAGTACTGGGCCAGATTACAGTGAACGACAACCATCGTAGAAGAAGTACAAAAAAAGAAGACAGAAGAGAAATAAAAGATAACACAGGACTGAGCTTTCCAAAATAAGCTGAAGAAACCTGATATGCATCAAATGTTTACAAACGTATCCAAGAACAGCTTTGGTTACACTAGACGATACTCTACTGCTATTTGCATTGTATTTACTTGCCCGGCAGAGTCGGATTAAAACTAGTGTCGGATTAGATTTCAATTGAGGTACGGACAATTTCACTGGAGGATTCAAGTAAATGCCAGCAAATGTCTGTAGTGTATTGTGAAGTCGAATCACAGTTACTTGTTCCACAAGTGGTAGAAACTACATGCCCATTTGGCTTCAGGTCAATTGAAAACCATCAAAAAACTAAACAGATACACACACACACACACACACACACACACACACACACACACACACACACACACACACACACACATATATACAAAATGAAGGTTCTTTTTGCTCAGAATGCGTGTTTCTGTACATACATCTGCATATGATGACATGTGGACTTTTGTCAGATGTTGCCGGAGAGATGAATGTAGCATTTTATGCTAATTCCTTCATCCAAAATGAACTACAGTATATGCCAAAACACGCAGATACCTAACAGGGATTTCTAGACCAAAAAAAAAAAAAACAACAAATCAGACAAATGGAAAAAATAACGTTTTTATATCACTAGTGAAGCTTCTATGAGCTGCTGACAATCAAAGCTGCCTGCGTCTACTTCAGGCGGACAATCAAAGTGAGGCAGAGAGGAAATACTGTGAAATCATACCGCAACACTGCGATGGCAACATGAGAAACCGTGCATGACCAAACGTAACCATGAGACAATCAGCCACATTGTTTCTGTGCAAAATGCGTCGCTCACTCTCCTCTGACCGCTGGTTTTCGGGGATGTAACTCAGTTTGAACTTCTTGGCGCCAATGTCTTTGTTTGCAATTATTTATTTGTCTTTTCACTTCACAGGTCCTCATGTAGTTTCCGTTGCTGTGTGTATTGTGTTAGTACCGTTTAGCTGCCAAGAGTCAACCCTTTTCGTGAAGGCCTTGGATCCCTTTAATCAAAATAAAACTGCGTCATCCATGCAAGTTCAGCACTCCTCATTTGTGACACGATGGGTGATGAGGATTTTAAGTATTTTAAGAGAAAAATATTCACACTTATTTAGTAGCGTCTCACTAAGATGCTTGCTCAAAGAAAATGCAAATAAATTGTCATGACATCAAAAAGTATGTTGGTGGATGGGAGGAGTGGGGAATGACAAAGGGGGCCCTCACGCAGAGTGCCCCCTCCAAACTAGGACCGCCACTGGGCATACATTCACATTTCATACAGACATGACGCAAACTGGTGCACCATTAGTAGGATGGCGTCGTGTGCCAATGGTATGCATGACTCACACGAGGCCCTGAGGAATTAAAGATGAGGAAGAAGGCGGGGGGATGGAGGAAGATAACACGGCGCTGGGGCACACTAGCATACGGTAATGGGCTTCTGAAAAGGGAACATGAGAGGCCTGAGCTGTGCTACTTCATGCAGCATCATCAATTTAGCTTCGTCAATGTATGGACAGAAATAGTGGGACACTAATATCAATTAAAAATACGAGGAAATGCGCAGTCTCCCTGCCTGTGTAAGAAAAAAAAATGCACAATCGCAGGAAGGAAGTGGTGTTCTTTTCAGGGAAAAAAAATACATTAGAAAAAAACAATATTTTCAATAGTTTTGAAGAACACAAGTCCCAATGTTACAACAGAAAATACTTTAAGTGGAGCGTCATGAGAAAATAATTGTAATAATTGTGAAAAAATGCTTTGGAAAATTCAGCATCATTTTAGTGATGTCACAATTCCCACAAAAATGGATACAAAACAGTCGACACAACTGTCACATTGCATATTTTGTCATGGCTACGTCCAAACTTCACAAACATGGCAATTTTACGATATGAATACCTCTTGGTAATAGTTTGAACGCAGTGCGAAGCGAGCTCTTCTTTGCTTCCCTTCAGGGGATCCCGTCCACAACTGCATACACCTTGAGACCACCAACAGGCCACTGGTGGAACTGCAGGCGGCCAACAGAAGGACTGTGACAGATACAGATTGGTACAAGACACAGTAGAGGTGTTGCGGGGGTTTGCATTTCAAAAAGCGTATTCCAACCAAAATCACAATCATCTATATGATTATTATTATGTTCAGGTTTTATTCCTTTTATGCTGAGCACTGTCAGAGAAGTGCCGTATAATGACCAACGTTTTTATCATTCTGGTTGTAGTTTGCAGCGGTTTTGTACTTTCATACTGAGAGCTGTTTCTAATGAGTCTGAATGATGAAAACTTGGGTGGGGTGTGTTCTGGTAGTGAGCTGGGTTGTCCCAGCCCAGATGAGTTTGAGTCAGACAGGGGTGGGGGGGGGAAGAGAGAGAGAGAGAGAGAGAGAGAGAGAGAGAGAGAGAGAGAGAGAGAGAGAGAGATGCTTTATTGATTAGCCCATCCTAGTCTCAGGAGAGCCGACTGAAGCTTCAGAGGAGACCCCACGGTGAGCGTGTTTGTTTGCTTTTTGTTGGCTTTTGTGGGATCTGTTTATTTATTTATTTATTTATTTATTTGCATTGCAAGCAGTGTGATGGAACTGATTTGGATGGTTTTGACTTTGGCTGCGTGCACATCAGCAATGCCCGAGCAGTACAGCAGAGCAGTGGTGAGTGTTGATCAAATATGTGAATGGGACCGAGATGTATCATCAATTCTGTTGGTACAATGATGATTCCTTGATATTGACAGAATTCATGTGCAAAGTCTGTCTGATACTTTGGTGAAATCAAGTCACCAAAGTATCCTCAAGGTAAACTGTTTTGCCCACAACGAAGCGAGCTTGTAAACCGCTGCATCTGACAACTGAAATAAATATCATGTCCCTGAACATTGTGGGTGGCATTGTCGAAAAGGGGTCATTTGCAACAATGCGTTTGTGGTTGACGGCTTCCTTTCAACTATACGCTGGTGGCGGAACCAGATGGGGAAGGGCTCCTTTCGAAATCACTTCTAAGAGATGCACATCTTTCCTGTTTCGACAGAGATTCATGAACACATCGCACCGATCAGTTTATTTCAGCCGGGATTTCACTTATGGTGACAGCCCAACGCGACAGCAATTCAGCAACCCGCTCAACAGGCACACAATCGTGCAATATTAAGCCGTGCCGGGAACATCGTTCAATCACACGTGGGAAAGGAAGTTGAAATCATGCGTCAACAGCGGAATCACATATTGTTGTTTTTCCATGTAGCTATGTTTTGCTGCGGTAATCATGTTTGGAGGAAACCACGTATTACCGCAAGTTCCTCTTTTATTCCTCCTCTCGGTTTTGCCCTCTGCAGGATTGGTTGAGCAGGTATGGCTACCTCCCTCCGCCCGACCCCCGGACGAGCAAGCTGCAGACCAAGGAGGGCATCGAGAAGGCCATACGGGTCATGCAGAGATTCGGCGGCGTGCGAGAAACCGGCGTACTCGGTAAAATGCTGCTCACGTGAGGCCTCTGGCTTCCCGTTAGCTTCTGTACCTCGACGCAACACTGCGTCATGCGGGATGGGACGCAAAACAATCCCACTTCCCCCTCGATGCAAATATTGACATCACCGCTTCATGATTAAAAAAAAAAACATGTGACCCACCAGGTCGTCATGGGACTTTTCCACACCGCCACAACCGGCCGTAACGCGCGTGAGCACACGCTGGCTGTTAAGTCAGACCTGTGTTCCCCCGCGCCGCCTTTCCCGGCCGTTCCACATTTCTCTACATCACATGCATACACCCACAGCTGACAAGGAGGCGCTTTATCGCAGTCACGCCACCTGACGATGCAAAGGGGAGATGTCTTTTCCGGACGTAGGTGTAGCTAGCTAGCTAAATGCTAATGCGCCCTATAACCACGAGTGACAAGTTAGGCGCTCAACTTCTTTTGGCGTGGAAGGGCGACCTGCAAAATGTACGAAAGCACGACGCCAGTACCCGCAGCTGTATTCCTTCCTACCAACCTGTAGACGGTGAAACGCTGAAGCTCATGTCCACACCACGATGCTCCCTTCCCGATATCGTCGGGGGTGAGGACATGTTGAAGAAGAGGAGGAGGAGAAGAAGATACGCACTGTCAGGACTTAAGTGGCACAAGAGCGATCTCACGTGGAGGTGTGTTACAGTTAATGCGGAGGAGAAAATCAATTGCAAAATCAATGCTCACCAGTCACCAGTGTGTTTCATTTGGAGTCCTTTTCTGAGTCCGTTGCCTGCGGGCTCCCTGTCCAAAGGCAAGGCGCTGACGGCCCTTTTGTTTCAAACAGAGAGATGAAATTGAATTTTAAAGGGGCACGGTGGTACGGAGCCAAATGAGACTCCAAAAAATTCTTAGCATCCATTGACAACTCAGACTTAACTCTTACCTGACATAGAAAGATGTAAGTTCCATTCATTTCAACACACTTCCTTGCCGCCAATGAATCCTTTTGACGCTTTGGCACCATGAATGGACGTTTACGTCGGCTGCAGCTCGCCTGCGACCCTCCTGAGGTTTTCAAGCGGTTCAGATAATGGAAGGACAGCTGTATTGTATGAAACCACAATGCCCTCTGCTGGATCTGACGGGGCACTGTCCAACTTGCCCCGAACCTGAACTCACCAGTTAAGTTTCCCCTTTGCAGTGTCCACAGCTATCCGACGCCGTCGCGCTCCCCCGGCCTGCCGTCCACCATGGTGGACAGCATCCTGACGCATGCCTTCAAAGCCTGGAGTGACGCGGCCCCTTTGACTTTCCACCAGCAGCCGGGCGGCGGCGGGAGCGCGTCAAGCGGCGGCGACATCAGGGTGTCCTTCAACAGCTTGCTGCACGATGACGGGTACCCCTTTGACGGGCTGGGGGGCACCTTAGCCCACGCCTTCTTTCCCGGCAGGGATGACGTGTCCGGAGACACGCATTTTGATGACCATGAGAGATGGAGCTATGGAGGTACGGTGTGGGGGACGCCGAGATCATGTTTCACTCTACGACAGCTTTTGCGCAACATACAGCAGAAATTCCAGGGATTGTTTGGAATGAGCTCATGAAGCCTACTCAGATGCGAGGCATTACGTCTCATGAAATACGAACCCAGTAAAACACTGAGATCCGCACACTCGCGTCAATTCGTGCAGCCCAGAGTTCAAAACAAATATGGTGAATTCGCTTTGTTTAAACTGCAGCTGTTGTGAAAGCGCTACATGCGTGTGTGCGCTCGCGTGCGTTAGCCATTCGTGGACTGAAGTCCCTCCCGTATGATTCCAACCGCAGGGGAGAGCAGCGGCACCACCGACTTGTTCACAGTGGCAGTGCACGAGTTTGGCCACGCACTGGGCCTGTCGCATTCCTCCTCGGACCCGTCCATTATGAGGCCGTATTACCAGGGTCCCGTGGGAGACATTCTCCACTACCAGCTGGCGCTGGATGACAGACTGGCCATTCAGCAGCTTTATGGTGAGTCACCAAGGCCAACTGCTCTTCGAAAAGAAAAAAAAAAAAGATGAAAAGAGAAATCTCTCTCTCTCTCGACGATGTCATGATTTGAGGATGCTGATCTCCAGTGAGTTCCGATGAGTCATCCAATGATGAAGAGGCCCAGTCTAGACGCGCGCGGGCTGCCGCGGGCGTTGCAGGTGTCGGGCAGCCTGCGGCGGTCCATGTTTCACGGCCATTCTTTGTACTTTCGGCGTTTGTCTTGGCTTCCCACGATGATTCACTGCCCCCCTTTGGAAAAGTGGTCCTGAACCAGCTACAATTATTTGCTCATGCGGTGTGTTCCTTTCATGACTTCATGGTTTCAGAAAACACATCTCGCGAATATGTTGGAAACTGTTCAAGTGAAACTCCGGAAACATACAAAGCGCAGACATTGACAGCGTTTGCTTTTGAAATGACGAGGCGGCCGCATCCTGTGTGACAACACCTTGTTCTTTTACAGGCATCAAGGGGGGGCAACAACCAGGAGGTGTTGACCCCAACCTCCCTCGTTTGCCCAGCCCTCCTCCGACCAAACCGACAAAGCCGTGAGTTCGCCGACACCGACGTACAAACTTCTGCTTTGCATTTGGGAAAAATAGATGGATGGATGGATGGATGGATGAAGTCGCACTCAATTCTTTGAGTGATGGAGAAAAAGGCTCAAGTGGCGCTCACTGTGGCTCTTGCGCTCTCTTGCGGATGTCTTTCAAACTCCTCCCAATGCAACACGGCAAGCTGAGCAGCTGGTTTTGGCCTCTCCTCTCCCAGGTCTGACCCTTCTGTCCACGACCGTTGTCACGGGGGATTTGACGCTGTGGCAAACATCAGGGGGGAAGTCTTCTTCTTTCAAGGTAAAGGAAAAAAAACTCTCCAATTCCCCAAAATGTGACGCCCACGTCCCATTTTATCGCTGAATCTGTGGTCTTCTGAGAAAAGGTGCTCATTTCTGGAGGACCACGCGAGACGGCTCCCTGGTGTCGCTTAATCCAGCTCAGATCCAAAACTTTTGGATGGGATTTCCTCCGGGGACGAATAAGATCGACGCCGTGTATGAGCGCAAGAGCGACAGCAGCATCATCTTCTTTGTCGGTGAGAAACCTGGCCAGAATTGAAGATGAAGTGGCGTCCCGGGCCGGGGCCAAAATTCCACTTGTACCCGTGCTTGGTTTCTTCCCGCCTTTGTGAATGGGCAGGCTTCGATGGCTTGAGGTACATCCTTGACTCGTAGTCTACCCTCAAACAGGATCTCAGTACTGGGTCTTCAAGGACACGGTGGCCATGAGCGGCTATCCTCGCCCGCTCTCCGAATGGGGGATGAAGAGGAAGAGCGGCGCGCTAGTGGACAGAGTGGACGCCGCCTTCATCTGGGCCCATAACGGCAAGACCTACCTGTTCAGCCAGGGCGAGTTCTGGAGGTTCGACGAGAGTCGAAAAGGCCAGCGCGGGACCCCGCAGCCGGAGCCGGGCTATCCGCGGGACAACAGCCTTTGGACCGGAGTTCCCTCCCGCATGGATGACATCATCAGCTGGGGCGAAGGTACCGTTCAACTCACGATGCGGCCTCACTCGTCCGGATGTGGTCATCGGATTAATCTTGCGTCTGTGGAACGTGAGTCAAGCGGCAAAATCCGCCCGTTTTGATTCATCTCAGGGGGGCGGCCATTTTGACATCATACCGCCCCCTGCTGTCGACTGAAAATGACAACGCAGTGGCGGACGGGCTCGGGCAACGACCGATGGCGGCTCACCTCTTTTCCGGGTTCCGTCACGTGACGTTCGCCTGATGATCCCCGAGGCACTGTGATGTCATTTTCAGTCGGCGGCAGAGGACGGTAGAATCTCAAAATGGTCCCAGATGACTCCAAGCAGGTGGATTTTGCTGCGGGCAATATTCATCATGTTTAGACAAGTGAGGTCGTACAGAAGAAAGATATCATTGTGAAGAAAATGTTGGACTTGACTTCCCTTTAAGTGGTGTACTTACGCAGTGATATGGGGCCTCGTTTCCTGGAAGCCCTTTTACCTCCCTTGAGCGATGGGTTCATTCCACGCATCCAGTTTTGCAAGGGCAATCACATGGCTTCCTCTTTCTCTTTAGGCGATGCCCATTTCTTTAAGGACAACCACTATTGGGTGCTCAAGAGCGGAGGCATGAACCAAGACTCGGTGGAGCCAAAATCCATCGGCGTGGACTGGCTCCGTTGTCCCGTTCCGCCGTCGACCTCGGCTCCGGCCAATCCCGACGGCCCACGCCGATGCCGCTGCGACCTCACAGACGCGTCTTCATCTCTCGCCAGCAACTACCTCCTGGTGTCTCTTTTACTGGCCATGAAGGGATTGGTGGTTAAAATAGCAAGTTGAGTTTTTCCGCAGTTTGCTGTGTGTGTGTGTGTGTGTGTGTGTGCGTGCTCCATATTTCCGTGAATCCCCACAATGTTCAACTATTTTAGACATTGACTTTATTTTTGTCATAATGATCTACCATAAAAGTATTAGCACCTGTATAGTTTGCATACACGGCGTCGTTAAAACGACAAACAAACAAAAAAAACCCCTGCGACATTGCCAATCAAAACTGAGCCATGTTTTCTTGTTCAGCGATTGTTTTGGGAAGTCATTCCAGTATGCAAATGTTGTCTTTAAAGGGTATGGAACAGGTTTTAAATTGCGCCTTATTGACGAACATCTTCGGTTACAACCAACCAAAGAATTCATCGCGTGGCATCGGTGTGGGAGATTGTCAAGGGACGCTTCCTTAATTGCAGGGTGGGTAGGAGCACCGCCCCGATTAATATGGTAAGCCCGAATGAGCACATTAACGACTTTACGAAACAGGAATTAGATGACAACCGAAACACCGTGGGCCGGCTCCTCCCACCCCGAAATGACTTTGTGGGAGGGGAGAGCTCGCTGCAGTTCAAGCCTTCATTTCAGAAACAAATCCACAACAAAAACACCTTTTTCTCTGTGATCAACCCAAAAACACACCGGTTGTCTTTTTTTTTTTTTTCTCACAAAATATGAGCACACCATTTTTTTAATGGACGGTTGACATACGATCAACCTGACAGAAAAAGAAAAAGTTGCAGTCTACATCGCAATCGGACTTTCGAGCCCACAGCTGGTCCTTCAAGTTTTTATTAACCTTCATGATTTCCGGTATTCCTGCATCAGGGAACACATTCACATAGACTTAAGATCATAAATAGTAGGTTAGATCTCGGTGGCAGCTGCCGTTAAAAAGCTTAAATTATACACTGTGTGTGTGCGTGTACACACACACACACGCACACACACATCCCGCATTAAAAAAATGCAGAATTAACGAGACAGAATGTTGCATTCCTTCATTACCGTCGATTCGGTTACTCGCACATATTGGGGTAGGGGAGAAAAAAAACAAACCAAAACAGCCGGGATGATTACGCGCCGTCGAAGGCAGGCCACTTTGGCAAACTGGTTTCACAACTGGGTTAGTAACTGCTCCCCAGGAACAGGCTGAGAGCCAGCAGGGCCAGGGACACGCAAGAGCCGGAGGCGCCGCCGGATCCGCCGGAGCCCGAATTCGACGAACGAGTGGTGACGGCCTGTGTGGTCTGGAGGCCCCTGAAGACGTTGACCATGATTTCCGATGTTTGGTTTCCGATACGCAGCATTGTGCTGAACATGTCGATCTAGGGAGGAAGGCAGGCAGGCATTGGCAAGTTTGCAGGTTGGAGGAATGGGTTTTCTCTCTCGCTCATCCCGCAAAGCTCACCAAGTCTTCGCTGACTTTAATGGACTCCTTAAACACAGTCCAGACCACGGCTTCGAAACACTTGGGTGTCGTGAGCGAGCCCAAATAGCGATAATACTGGCTGCGATCCACTCCATCCAGCAAATCATTCAGGGAGAGTCCTGGCGTCATATTGACAATGTCACCTGAAGACAAATGTTGCTCATTGGACAGGGAACGCCCAGAATGTCGTCAAGTTGGGGTCGGGCGTCGCCTTACCACCCAACGTGATGTTCTGCAGGTAGCTGGTGAGCGTCTTCCAGCTGGCAGGTTGGCCGGTCGTGTTCGGCAGTACCTGCGGCGTACATCGCTTGACATCAAATGGAATCTCGAGGACACCGTCGTAAACGCATGACAATATCTCACCTCAATGAAGAAGCCGAGAGCGGCGACTCCCATGGGGTCATTGACGGCTGCGGTCGTGTTCCCGTTGAAGCTGGACTTGATGTTGACAATGTGCAACTGCGGGCGGAGTCAAAACTTGACACGCTTGCGTGGTTGGGAGACGTGCGCGGCAAAAAATGTCCAGCTCACCTCCATGGGGTAGCGGACTCCATTCACGGCGTGCTCGGAGCCAGGTACGTTGCTGCGGTTGCCCCAGTGCAAGTGGAACTGCAGGCTGTCGTAGGTCTCGGAGAGACCTCCCCCGGAAACCTGCACCCCGGATTTGAAGTTCACTTTCACTGAAAGGCAGCGGGGGAGAGGAAACAGGTCAAAGACTGGCAGCCATTCGTCTAGGAGCCACTCAGCTCAATCCACCAGTTAATGCCACGAGTTTCACCTCGCCCCATTCCCCCCCCGAAAACCCCCCCCCAAAACAACGCAATATAACAGTAATGGCATGTTTCAAGAATGAATAAAAAGAATGAAACCGTTTTTGTCATGCTCCATCAATTGCACGGCCATCGGGCTGCTCCCTCCACCTTGGCCAACTGGGGGCATCATACTATTGTGCTCATGGGGACGTCTCTCCTACTCTCAGCTCATCAGTACGGCACTAATATAGGTTTTTCAAGACAGAGGCTAACGACCATCTGTCTGAGTACCGATACTGTATATTGTCTATCTACATGTGTTGCTGCAGCGCTTAAGATCAATCCCTGCTTTAAAACGCACCACAACATAGATACGTTCGCATGAAGCTCGCGGACTGAAAGGCTCAGATATGTATTTATTTATTTTTTGGGTTTAATGCACAAGGAGTAATGTTTTTGTTTGGTTTGACTTGTCTCAAAAAAAAAAAAAAAAAGAATTAAGGATATTTTCTCGGGCACGGGCGTATTTGTGCAGAAAGCAACAGGCGTGTTTCACTGTTTGGAAGTTGGCTGTAACCAGTTTTGCTCTGAGCAGTCAATCAGGGTTATCAAATGCCGATGTCAATTTGAAATCTGACACAAAGTGCCCCGGTGCTCATGCAGTTTAAGTTACATCGACCAACACGGGCAGCACAGAAGCTGGAATCGGACTCCCCCCCCCCCCCCCCCAAAAAAAAAAAAAAATCGAACACACATCCTGCTGAGAGAGGGAAAAAAAGACGAAAGAAAATCGACCTTCGGGAATAAAATGTTACCATTTTTGTGGAGGCAATATTCCAATTTAAGACGGAAATGAGGGTCAGGTCCTCACCAGTTTTGCCAGTGTTGGTGATATTGTCCAGCACGTTCGTATTGCCGAAGTTTGTGAAGGCGAAATCATTCAGACTTTCATTGACTGTGACCGCCGAGGTCACAATATTAATGGGCGATTGTCTGCTCCCGTTGCAAAATTCCGCGGAAATTATTGGCCATTGGGTGTAACCTGTGAGGAGAAACGAGAGGTATGACGGTTCCCACCGAAGAGCAAAGACAAAGCAAAGATCAGCGGAGATAACGCTGGCTACTTACTGCAAGATGGAAGGTGGTAACACCAAGCTGGTCCAAAGGTGAAAAGGAAATAGACAGACTTAAGTTAGCGACTCGGTCATGGTGCTAAAAGTTGCATTTGTGTGATGATGATGATGATGATGATGATAGAACACGATATCGTATTTGTTTGTTGCCGTTTAGTGCGGGGAAAGACAATTTCCACAGCAGCAAAAGAGACAACTCTTGAATTGAACTGACCAACTTCAAACCGGAATGAACTTTGTTGCCTTGAATTTGGGGCTTCACCCAATTTATTTTGTCCACACGTCTATTTTCAAATCGATATGCATTTGGTTTGAACTGCCGCCTCGGTAAATGAAGAGCACCCTGCTGAACTTGTGCAGCTCGTGTGTTGCTCGGATCATTTTGCGTCATTTCTCGAGCTGGAGGGAGCAATCGGTCCCCGGATAAGATTGAAAGGCAACTCAATTTGTCTCGGGCGGGCCTGCTAAAACGTGGTGGGCATCAGCGTGATATCAGCTAAGACAGCAGAGGGCCAACAGTGCAACTCGTGGAAAGAAATATGGAGCGGCTGAATTCAGAGCAACCATTCAATCGCGGAGATGTGTTCGGACCGAAGAGGACTGCAAAAAGGTCAAGAAATTCTCACCAATTGTGTCGTCGGCACAGTAGACATCCGCCACAAAACTGCAAGCAGCAAAGGCAACGACGAGCCACCTCATCTTCAAAACAATCATTAAAAAAAATAATAATAATAAAATACAATCAAATAAAGTGAACAAACGGCGACACACAACGTAGCGTAATAGTGCGCGCCCCCCCCAAAAAGGAAACTCTCTAACTAATTAAAATATACAAAAGAATCGAACGATGTCACAATGCATGAACTTCGAACAATCTATGGTTGCGTCTCACCTTCAAGGCACCTGTGTGCGCGCAGCAGAACATTTGTGCCATTCATCATTCCTTCCTCGCATTTTATATAAGCCGCGCGTCGGGGGGAAAAAAAAACGCCCGTCTCAATTATCATCACTCCACCATCTAGTCCGTCCCACAAGTTCGTCTTCGATACCAGCGCATTCTTTTCCGCCTTGACATCACATGCAGATTCCATAGCAAGAGATACACATCTATCGCTGTTCAAATGTGATAGATTAGGAAGCCAACCTGTAGTTTGTTAGGTGAACAAAATGAGATGTCCCACAAAAGGATTATAATAAGCCTAATGATTCTTTTGTATTATTATGATGATTATAATCCTTTTGTTCCCATCATTTTACATAAACATTGAGATCACTTGGAACAACAACAGACATCGCTGATGGTGTAGTGGTCCACTCACCTGACTTGCGTGGGATCATTGCTCACTGAGTGATGGTGCAGATATGGGCGGGAATGGTTGCGAATGACTGGCGACCAGTTCAGGGTGGAGTCCGCCTGAAGTCGGCCAAGAGAGGCTCCGGGAACAGCCTCCCATGATTATAATCCTTTTGTTCCCATCATTTTACATAAACATTGAGATCACTTGGAACAACAACAGACATCGCTGATGGTGTAGTGGTCCACTCACCTGACTTGCGTGGGATCATTGCTCACTGAGTGATGGTGCAGATATGGGCGGGAATGGTTGCGAATGACTGGCGACCAGTTCAGGGTGGAGTCCGCCTGAAGTCGGCCAAGAGAGGCTCCGGGAACAGCCTCCCTGCACGCGAGCCAGCACCTTTTGTCTTTCCGCGCAAGGCCCCGGTGAAATATATTCCATGGGAACTAAAAAGGCCGCGTGTGTTGCAAAAGAAGGTCTGCAGTCAGGTTTTGTCAGTCTGACATTGTAATTAAGATTCAAAGCGCCGAGTCAGCGGCGACCGAGTTGGCTCGGGCTTACGTCATGACAAGTCGTTCTCATCTCAGCTGTATTTATAGAGCACTTGAAAACAACCGCCGTTGTATACGATAAGTGTTGTCT